TACACGAGAAAACCCCAGGTAAAGAGAGAGCAGCTGGCTAGGCCCCTCCCCGTGCAGCCAGGCCTGTCGTCTCTCTTAAGTACTCAGCAATTTGTCTCCCAGCAACCCTGGGAGTTTGTATGGGGAAAATTCTTTCAAAAGGAGAACTCCCAAAACCCCAACAACCGTGTACGGCCACTTCCACACATGTTTGGCCCAAATTTTTTTACTGTTTCACAATGCATGGTGAGTCTCAGGTGGTGTTCTTTTCAACAGACCGAATCACCAGTGACATAGAAACAAACATCCAGAACAAAGTGATGTAGAGTCCTTCCCAATAAAAGGTACTATCACAGATATAAAATACAATTTGTAGGAGTAAAAGAGAAGATCTTCTAAAGCCACAAATCTTGGGTTCCTACTCTACATCAAGTACTTCTGGAAAACCCAGCCTAAATCTGAAGGAATTATCATGCTTTCTCTCCTTTGCTCACCTTCATGTACCAAGCTCAGCAACAGGACAACCAAAGCTTCTGCCAGCACTTCACTATTATTGTCCTGGTGAGATTTTCTACCCACAAGGAAATCAAGAATCACTTGACAGCACCAGAGTACACTTCATCCTTAAAAAGTTGTCGTCCAAACAGAAAAGTCTGAGCTGCATCAAGCAGTTTTCCCAGGATGTGGCATGATACATAAAAAGCCCTACACCACTTAAATCTTATCTCTACAATTAAGATACAAAAAAACCCAAGAGTTCAACCCCACACGTTTTGGACATCTCTTTAGACAAGCTGTAACTTAAGTCCAGGTAGGCAAAGGAAGAATGGATTACACACGTTCAGAGGCATCGGAGTTGTTTAATGTATTTCCCTAACCCACCTCGGCAATTGTCATCTTTTTCTTAAGGGTAACAATCCATTCAAGAGTGGCCCCACCCACCTTTCACTCTCATCTGCAGCCTTCTCAGCCTCCTCCAGCTTCTGCAGAGCAGTAGCCAAGCGCTCCTGAGCCCGATCCAACTCTTCTTCAACCAGCTGGATGCGTCTGTTCAGAGAAGCTACTTCGCTCTCAGCCTAAGCACAGGAAGAAGAGAAATTAATTCATAAGGCAGCACACATCATCTCGTTATCCCACATATCTGCTAGAGCCTTTTAACAGTACTTCAGAAATTTCTGTCTTTATCCACTAAAGCACCCATACACAGAGATGCACATGCCCTCTTTGCATTGTGAACTTATTGCTTAATGGAAGAAAAAGTGATTAATGTTTCCTTTAAAATAAGTGTATTAAGGACTGTACAGTTCGTAATAGAAAGAAGTGCATTGGAAGAATTATGCATCGTTCCCTAAACACTTTGTTATTGTACTTACTTTCAGACATTAACTGCTTATGGTCTCTCTCTCCACATTCCTCTCATCAAATTAATACAAACTAATTACCCCATTCTTCTGTTATCCCAAATCCTTTATGACCTTTTGCCATATTTTGGGAAGAACTGTCCCAGTATTTCCCCGAGTTCCGTAAGAAGCATTCAGCATAAACATGCAAAAATACACCTAGATCAGCAATTGCAATGACACAGAAAGAGCAGGAGAACATTTAAGAAAAGCCTGAATACCCACAAGGTTGTTTACAGGCAAGCTATGCAAGTACTGACAAAGGAGGCACCAGCAGAGGCTACTTGGAACGGCCTTGGTACAAGCAACAACCACTTAAAACATCTATTTTTCCCTTCTCCCGCACTGCCATTCACAAACTTCCCCCAGATCCTCCTCTCTTGCATTACCACTTTATCTTCTGTGTAACACTTACAACTCATCTGCCTCTTACAAGCTTTTATTTGTGACATTCTCAAACCTACACTGGCTTAAGTTGCAGAATAAGTTCTATAACAGCCTTCTCGTACTAGCCTCATTATTAACATTTATTTCTTTCAAAGAGCTATTAAGTGCAAAATACACATAAAAATGTCATTACTCTAACAAGTTAATGTCTTCCAAGAATAACAGTTACTCTTAATTAGTACTGAAAACAATCTTGCTATATATGAGAAACTACACATCTCAGTTTCCTGTGATGTCTAGCTGGGGGGTGGGGAAGAAACCAACCCTCCATCAAAAGTAGATATTAAAAGTGTCTGATTTGTACTTTTTATTTAAATTAAAAAATTTAAGGATCTGTTATTTGCTGCTTTTATTAACCGAAGGTAGCTGCATACAGTTAACCATAGCTAAAATTCTGTTGTACATAACAGAAGTAGGAGCAACTTCCGAATCAGATAAGTAGAACAACCTTTGACAGATAACAATAACATTGTGCCACTAGAATGATTGGAAGTAACACAAACAGGGAAGTAAATACACATTTGAACGTTAATGAATGTTGGCAGTAAACCAGGAGCTGGAGACTTCATCTCGAACAACAATGTTATCCAAAATGTAAAATCTTTAGCTATGTCATCAAGCAGTAGTACTCCAAACCTGTGTTTTCAGACTTCTGCCTTTAAACAGCAAGAAGCTGGATGTTCTGGTCTGAGGAAGAAAACAACCTCCCATAAATGTTACCCTTGGGAAATTTGTAATGTTACAGGTTAATTATTATCATGTCAAAACTCCTCATCATGATAAGACCATACAATATGCTTAGAAAACAGAGGATGACTAAAGTTCAAGTTTTCACTTCCTGCTCCAGTAACTCAATAAGGTTACCAACTAGCCTTATATGGCCCAAGTTATTCTTCTGAAGAGCAGGACTTCTCTCCTTATATGGTAATGAAGGAAAAACCCCAGTGACATTAAGGGCACTCCCACAGCTGACAGACAAACATAACCTTCTGCGTTTTTGTCATCACACTTACATATCACATATTTTTACAATGAACAATGGATAAGTTACCACTGGGTATTAATTATTACTGTTGTAAGAGGCATTCTGTTTTCCAAAAGAAGGAGGAAAAACACATTCTGCAAATGTGATTACCAACAGCCCCTTGAGATGCATGCACTCAAAACAGGAGATTCTTTTTTAAAGCAATGGCCACTACTCAATAGTCTTAAAACTTTTAACAATCTGTTTTAACAATCAAAAGCTGTAAGCTATGAGATGTTTTGACCACAGCTTTAGCTTTTTCATTGTTTGCGTATCTGTATCTTGCACAGGAAGAAAAAATAAACCAGAAAAACCCCAGATGGTCACATGCTATACACGTAAGGCATTACACTAAGGGAAGGGTCAAATTCACACCTCAGCGTGCTTGCCTGCAGAATTCCACCCTATCTGCATAAAGCAGCTCCAGGGAAGGGACAAACATTAACCTTTAGGATCCTAAGCCTTAGTGTAGCGTGGCAGAAAAGAAAAGGGAAGACTTCACCGTCAAGATGTAATCCTTTCAATGTTATTCCTTCTGCCACGAAAGTTTCCCATTTTAATGGGATCCCTTAATATGTTGTTTAGAACAGTACACATTACTGAAAGTAGCAAACCTGGTGTCCTTTACTCCACAAAGCTTAAAAAATGAGTACAGATAATTTTTTTTTTTTAAAGACAGAAACCCTTACGAAACAAGTTAATGACTGTGACATGATCCCTCCCTGAAAAAAAAGATGAGTATGTGAACTGCAAGAATGCAATAGTTACACAAGCACAAGAAGCCATATTTTGGTCCTTGAGAAGCTCACCTGCAATTAATCAGAATGCTCTTCCTTTGAATTTGCTGCCCAGAACGTGCAGAAAGCCCCACATTATAAGGAAAAGCAATAATAATTTTTTTCTATTGTAACAAACTACATGAATAAAAAAATCTATTCTTTTGCATCACTTTTATGCAACTACTGAAAACACTAAAACTGCTACAAAGGACATGGTCCATTTTGTATCAGGAAACATTAAGTCACAGCTGCTAGAATTCCTCAAGGTCAGTGGCAAGCCAAACACCAGTCCTATCAGTTCTTTTCTGTAACTGCCTCTCAGAACTGCACCTCCGTACGTGAATCTGTTCTGCTCATCCC